TGGATATGTTATATACATTTTGCCGAGCACCTATGCCTGCTTGAATACGCAACAATATTCTGACATGTGGATGGTAGATATTCATTGGTGATTCTGGTGGACATACTACATCCGACGTGGACAGGAAAAAATCGCATATTGCCAGGTGTTTGTATTGCAGCTAAGTATTTATGTATACATTTTCAATACCAATATTTAAGAAGAAAGAACTTTTACATCTTTATAACCAAACAATTTGACGTGGCAAAATAAAGTTAAGGAAATCTTTTTAGTGGCACTGAAAGAGAAATCAAAAAAGAGCATTGATAAAAAAGATTGCAAAAGCCCACTTTTTTTACAACAACATGTGGCTCTCTCATTTCTACAAGTCCCTTTCTCTGCTGATGTGTTTATCTTCCTCCATTCACTCTCTCTGTGTGGCTCTGTATGATCCATCAATACCAACCCCAGACTCTTATACATATATACTCTTCCCTCACAACTTTGGTAAAACAATAAACACATAGCATACAAATCTAATAAAGAATAAACCTTCATTTTCTTATCTCTCTTCAAAGATTATTGGTATGTCTCAAGTTGGAGAAACTGCAGTAAAAGTATTTGGATGGACAATTACATCGGTTTATCATGATCCACTGTCTCCCACCTCTTCCTCGTCTTCTTCTTCCTCACTTGTACCACACATGGTATGTTCTTGAAAACTGATTAAGACCATGTTCATCTTAACTTTTGAAGCTAAGAAATGCTTAAAATTGAATCTTGATTATCTCTAGTCTCTATCAGCTTGAAACTAGTTTCATGATGTTAATTCTAATCCATGTTCTTTCAAATATTCAGGTAAAGAACCAATCTGATACTGACCACAGCGAAGAAGACAATACAAGAGTACTTAAGATATCATCTGATGATCTTAACAAAGAGTCAAAAGAAACATCTGAGAACAGCGACCAACACAGTGAGATCACAACAACTACTTCATCAGAAGAGAAAACAACTGCCCTCAAGAAACCAGACAAGATTCTTCCATGTCCCAGATGCAAAAGCGCAGACACTAAATTTTGTTATTACAACAACTACAACGTTAACCAGCCACGTCACTTCTGTAGAAACTGCCAGAGGTATTGGACTTCCGGTGGATCTATGAGGACTGTCCCTGTTGGTTCAGGCCGTCGCAAGAACAAAGGATGGGTTTCTTCCGACCCTTACCTTCACATCACTTCCGAGAATACTAGTAATGACTACAATAGCTCCTCCACGAAGATTCTCAGCTTCGAGTCTTCGGAGTCTTCGGTTACTGACAACGCTAGTAACCATCGATCAAGCGATGCGAAGATAACCGCCGATTCTCTTTCACAAGATTTCAACAACTTTCACGGATTTCTTCCTCCGCAAGTAACATCATCGGTTTCGCCTACTTGGCCTTATCAGTACCCTCCTAACCCTAGTTTCTACCACATGCCTGTCTACTGGGGCTGCACGGTACCGTTTTGGTCTACCCAAGAGACTTCCACATGTCTAGGGAAAAGGACAAGAGACGAAGCTTCACATGAAACTGTTAGAGAAAGCAAAGATGCTTTTGTAAGAGCAAGATTGGATTCAGAATCTCAAAGTAACTATAACGAAGCAAGCTTAGCTACGAAGAATCATGTCTGGTATCCAGTACCGATGAAACGCGAGAAGACAGAGCAATTCAGATTTTTCAAGAAAGGATCTGAAACAAAGAGCAACAACAGGAGATCCGTTCCTCCAACGTATTTTAGCCTGCAAGCGAATCCTGCAGCCATGGCAAGATCTGTGAATTTCAGGGAGAGCATGTAACGTTGACCAGATACTAATATAGATCATAAACGTCTGTGTGTTTATTCATGAACCGGGATTTACTGTATTGATTGTTACCTTGTAGAAGTATTAAGAAAACTTTGTAGATATTCTTATTGTATAGTATATGAAGCTGTAGATAACTTTAAAATATCTACCGTATTACATATATATATATGTCACATTCACCATATTATACATTATCCTAATGGATGGATGTGCTCAAGTTATAATATCTTTTTGGTAAATTTGATATGAGATATTGTATATTTCATTAATTATATGCTAGTGTATAAATTAATTTCGAGAAACGAATAAAGAAAAGATGAGTATGGATGTTTATGTAAAGGAGAAAAGCAGAGCATCTTAAGTTTCAGTCTATGGTTATAGAATTCATTCTAATGGAGGAGCATAAAGTTTATTTCTTTGGAAAAGAATGTCTTTTTTTCATTTGCGTCTAAAAGAAAAGAAAAGAAAATTCGTGAGTTAGTTAAAGTATGCTTTTTTTTTTTTGCAACATCTTTTTCATTCATCAAACTTTGAAATTACACGGAATCGTAGTACGATACACGAAAACATTAGAAGCTAAAATATAAATAACAATATAGTTATACGACTGCGAATCAAAGAAACAATCTTGATGCGTCAATATAGAATTCACGCCTAAGCCGGAAGACATAAGTTTAGTCGCTTTGACACGCAACTTTAAAGGATTACCCATTCCTCCGATATTCGTCAAGACGAAGTCGGTTGCCTCTTATGGCCCCATAGAGATCGCTACACAAGAATCCAAGTCGGGTAGGAAATTACTCGGTTTTGGTTCCGAGAAAGATCTTACTCTCCATGAGAGAAGAAATGGTGGAACGGTTCTCTTTCCAAATAGGAAAGAGTATGGATGAGGTCTCTCCCATAGGGAAGAAATTACAAGGTTTGAGAACCCAGAAAACTTTGTTCTTCTCACGTAAAGAAGCTTGTGGACTCAAAAGCAGGTCGGAATGTTGAAACAACTCCGAGTGTTGACGCGCAAATATATAGGCCACATTCAAAATAGAATGGGCCTAAAGCCACCAAGTACCAAATGGGCCAGGCCCACAAACATACCATGTTCACGGCCTTTAGAATGAATCCCATCACTTTACAATTGGGTCAGGCCCACCAACAACAAATATTTGTCGGCTTTGGAAACGTGAAACTCTTGGGGTTCACCGGAATTTTATCTGAGCTTTTGACGGTGAGGAATCTTTTCAGACCGAAGATCAATTTCGGACCCAGATAGTGGCTATTATCAACGAATAAACTCGCCAAGGTATATGGTGAGAGGTTCGAAGGATTAATGTTACAACTTACAATGACATTCTAAGATCTCGACAAGAGATATAGCTTTGCAAGTTGAATCAGTCGAGGATATGGAGCGGAGGTAAGCATTGTAAGAGGAGGTAAGTTCGTCGGATCAATCGGAGGGCTTAGGCTGTAAGAATGAGAGAGCTTATGCGGGCCTATAACCTCTCATGTACTGAATATGAGTCCATCGCCGATGGAACTAATCTCTACTGAAGTGGAGATGGCTAGACTCGACGAAGGTGAAGATTTCTCAGTCGGTGACGCAGAGAGTGAAATCAGTGGCTGAGAGAAAGTATTAAGTCCCATGCCGTAGCAGAGAATTTGACCGGTGGAGGGAAAATCAATTACGACGGGGAAGGTTACAAAAGATCTCGGCGAAGGCGTGGGTCTTGCCTTCGACGAAGTCTGGGCCAGTGTAAGGTCGGGCGGCTCTGGCGGTGGTAAAGGCTCTCGCGGCCCCAGAGGAAACAGAGCTGGTGGCTCTGGACGGTGAGAAGTTGAGGTCGGGCTCTTCATCATCACATTGTGAACAGTGGCTATGTCTTTGAAGAGCGAGATCTCACCGGCGGTGAGATTCCAATCGGCGGAGGACGGGAGCAAGACGGGAAACTCGGTATTCGAGTAAACCCCGGAGGGGTCCTGAGAATGAGAAGCATGGCTTCTCAGAGGAACAAACCGGCGGAGGAGATCGAAGCCTCCATGATCGGAACTTGATGAAGCGGCTTCGGCGGCGTCTTAGTTATCGAGCCAGAGAGAAAGTTCTCTAGGGCGAACGCTTAATTGTTTTGTTTTGATGTTTAATAATAAAATATGCTTTTTAGAAATTATATTTAAAGGCATGAAGTGACTCAATCGAATGGTGAGGGATGGAGTGACAATGAGGCCACTCAAGTATTTGGAATTGGTCTTGTTCTTTTTTTGTGGGCTTACATCGAAGGCACAAATTAATTCTAATATAGTCATGACTGGAACCAAAAATATTATTTAGCATTGGGTACATAAATATGTTTCACTATACCTAATTTAGACATAAGAATTTAAATGGACTTTTCAAAACTACTTGAGAAACTAAAAATAAAATAGTGTGGAGCATATGCCACACCTCTTGTCTTCCTACGTCCGCTCCTAAATGTAATAGCACTTAGCATAAACGATAAGGTCAAAAGTAAATGTAAACTTGATCATGAAAACTTTGGTGTGCTAAACTTATAACATAAGTTGCGACGAAGTCGCCATCTTTGAATGAAGGAAGAAGTTGAGCAGAGATGTAATGATAATTATGGAGGATCGGAATAGATACTTCTTTGTTGTATCGCACCGTCACTTTCTCTTAGTGGTTGGCTCGTGCTCCGGGTGGCGGCATGTGACCAAACATGGGAGAAGCTTCCCGAGACATGTCTGTTTTCTTTCACTACCCGATAGTAGGGGTACGACCAATCCTTGGATGGAGTGACACTACTTAGCCGACTTGGCATGTCCTCCTTGGTTGGTGTAACAACTCTACTCTTTACATGACCGGCCATGAGGACAGGCCCAAGAGGTATAAGTTTTAGGCACCCAAATTTTTATGGTTTGTTAATATTAAAAATTAGTCCCCGAAATTTTTTTGTTTGCAAAAAGATTCTCAAATTAAAAATATATCTATAACACCCCTATTTTTTTTTTTGTCTAGGGCCATCTAAATCTCAGGGGTGGCCCTGGTCTCTTTGTGGGAACCCTTCTTTCTGCCTCACCCCAATCATAAACAGTGTGCAATGCAATAATCCTCGAACATGACATCAAACTCAATCCACACTCAGTTGTCGAATAAATCCACTCTCACTCTTGAAAGTATTCTTGACCTTGCTACGTGTGCAGACAATATCAACCCTCTAGGCAACATCAAGCATGGTTCCTCAAACAAGTTCGATGTAATGTTGTCTCTCTTTTTCTTCTAGAGAACGGAAATCATATTTGATGCTATTAGTCTATTCCGAAGAATCACAAGAAGTCTAATGTCTGAGGTCTACAACCCCTTGTACGGAAACCCAAAACTCGACCCAAATGGATACTAAACGTATACACCACATAATTCATTTACACATAATCTAATAATTTAGTGTTTCAAAAATATCATTTAATTATGGCATACGTCATACTTATATCTTCTGCTTCAATGTCACCAAATTCCTTTGACAGAAATTATATGTACTAAGTAATTAAAATATCCATTTCATTTATTTTGACAGCTTATACAAAATTTAATTTTATTACATTTATACATAATAAA